ATGGTGGCCAGGCTATTTGAGAGATGTGGAAGGGTATGTTAAAAGATGCCCAAAGTGAGCAGAAATAAAGAAATTTAGGCAAAAGAAGATTCACTCATGGCCAAAGGAAATGGAACCATGGACACAGGTACATATGGATCATGCCTACATTAAAGATATAGGACTATTTCTGATATTAGTCAACTCATATTTAGGTTGGCTGAAATTATTAAAGTCATGGATGGAAAAGCCACTTCAGAGAAGTGGCTTTTCCAGGATAGTGGTTTTGAGATATGGAGTACCAAAAACCTTAGTTTCTGACAATGTACCTGAGTTTTGTGAAGAAAGTTTATGTGCATGGTTAAAATTTATTGGTTGCATTCCATACAAAACACCACTTTACCACCCACAGACAAATTGCAGAGAGAATGGTTCAAACAGTAAAAATGTGATTAAAAGCATTCTCTCTAGTAGATTGTGATATAGAGAGTTATTTATCCAGACTACTCCTAAGTTATAGAGCTATTCCACATGCAAGCAGAAGACAAAGCCCATATGCATTGATGGAAAGTCAAATAAGAGTCCTGATTACCATGTCATTTGCACTGAATTAAAGTGTGTGGTAAAGAAAGGACAAGAATTCAAGTTCTGAAAAGGTGAAATTTGTGGTGCAATATGATATATAACAAAATGTCCTTTGAAAAATATATTTAGAGTTCCAGAGAAAATTTTAGTGAATATTTGGTGCCAAAAAATGTTTGGGAGATAATTGTGAAGTGCATTCAATATTGTTAGGGTGAAAGATAATGATGTGATGTTTTCTTTTCAATCATTTTGTTAATTTTTATTTTTCTCACAATAAATAAACAGTTTGTGCATTAGCATGTAGTGAAGCAAGGTACTACAGTATTGTAATGGATGAAGTTGCTGTTGTCCATCAGTTTGTAGTGGGAGGAGTTATGACTGGTTGCTTGTCATGATTGAGACTTTCAAAGTAAAATTCCACACATTGAGGATTTCACATAAAGAACAACATAGCTCCCAAAAGAAGAGAAAGAGAAAATTATATGTGTATACAAATCATTAAAAAAAATGGAAATAAAAGATTGAGGGTGCAGCTGTATCCTCTCTCATGGAGAGAGGATACAGCTGGACCCTGGTGCCGTTTGAAGTTGGCTGTAGAGGATTGCCTGCTGCTTTCTTAAAGAGATTCCTTAAGTGTGCTGGTATCTAAAGGCTGAATAAGGTTATAAAGACTCGTGGTGAAAAAGCGGTGGAAGTGCAATTCCTATCGAGTCGCAACATACATAGACCGGTTACAATGTAACATCATCCAGTTGTTGTGGAGCTTAATGGGATGAAACTTTGCTGAAGCATGATGCTCAGCTGGAGATTTCAGCTGGTCTGGAGCACTTGATGTGTACATGCGTTCTTATCTGTACTGTGTGGGAGCATGTATGAGGCATCACATGGTGGTATGAAATTACGAAGTCTGCTGCTGAGGGAAGTGTCCTGTTGTTATTGTTATTACAATCCAGAGCAAAAGAGATGGAGAAGAGGATTATGTCCTTCCTTTTATAGTCCTGAATTAAACAACACCTAGCGAGCAAATCATGTAAACAAAGGAGACTGCTTCAAATTTTTGCCTCTGAGTGGGGGTGTTAAACATAACACTACTTCCTAAGCCTATGATAGCCTTTGAGATTTCTTTTATGGCACAGAATGCTGATAATTATATGTTATTGTAAAAACACACCAAACTCATGGCTACTTGGACTAAAATATTAAAGGATTATTTTTTAATTTTTCTTACATTGACCACTTTAATAGAAAATCACTTATTATTGCTGATAATTTTCAAGATACTGAGAGAAGCTATCAGAAAACATTGATATTATCTGGAATTTCAGGACTGACTGCATTTAATGGGACAAATATTAAATAGACCATATTTTCTAAATATAGCCTATTTAAAGTTCATTCTGTTTTCACTGGTGAAAAATATAGCAGTACATTCTTCTCTCCTGGAACATAAATCAACCCTAAAGCCATTCTGGATATGATTAGTTATAAATTGAAATATTTTTTTTTTATAGATTTGACCATGCTGATAATGTCCACTTTATTTCACATATAAGTGACATTGTGCGATCGTTTATTTGAGTTTTAGAGTTGGAAGTGTTAGTTTCAGTCTGTATAAGTCTTCCAGTTAATGGTCCATTGTATCATAGATACTTTTGCATACCAAATTTCAAGATGAAAAAACATGCAAATTTTTATCACCAATACATCAAATATGCAAAATGCTGCAAGCAATTAAACTGGGTTAGAAAGAAAAATGCTATGATTATTCATGCCAGTCAAATTGTGACTCCATGGCATAACCCAAATAAAAAGGAAAATAATTGACAAAAAGACAATAAAAAGTAAAAATGAAAGGGAGATAACTATAGAAGGACTCTTCCTTGAGAATGGAAAATAATTCATATATTGCTGTTTTTCATTGTTGAAATGAAGACTAAAATTATTGAGACACTCTTGTTCTTGTTCCTGGAATTGTTTCATCTTTAAAAACAAATGATGTTGTCCAGCAACAACATAATTACCACAACTTTTGCACCTGTGCCTGAAAAAGGAAAACTCAACAATAAATGCTTTATTTTATTTATTTTTTTTTTTTTAAAAAGAACAATATTCATCACTAAATCCTTTAGATAAAGTAAAAGAAGAGAGTGATAATGATAATCATGATATTATAGAAAAAATAAAAATAAAATGTTCAGTTTCTACAGAACTTGATCCTCTAAAATGATGATGAATTGAATGTGACACATAAATCTCCACTGATTGGACAGGGCAGTGTTGCTGAAATTTGAATAAATTATGTAATTTCAACATAATATGAACCAAAGAAATTTGCTAAGGAGATTATATTGAAGTAGTTTAAAAGTGAATGGTCTAAACTTGTTGTACACTTATAATTGTCTGTCATCAGCAGGTTATATTTATTGTTGAGTTTTTATTTTTCAGGCACAGGTGCAAAAGTTGTAGTAATTATGTTGTTGCTGGATAGACTGTCCATAAAATGTAAAGCACAAAACATTGATATTATGTCATCTAAATAATGTACATCAGCAGCATGTACTGTGTAACTGAGAATATTTGAAACTTATTACCGAAACTCTATTGCTTACTTCCCAACAAAATCTAGCTCAAGGTGAAATTATCAATATTAACAATGGTAAATTTTACATCTACAGTTCAAGAATATGATCTGGCTCAGAGAAAAATTGAAAAGTCAAAGACATTTATGCAGTAGCTTGCACCTATTGTCCAAAATAAAATTCTTAGTATCATGGATGGGGTTGTTTTAGAAAGCATAGAAATTTATGCAAAAACAGTAATCAAGATATGTCAAGAGGTTTGAGTAAGTTGGTCTATGTTTCAGATTCAATGCAAGAGAAATTAGGGAGCCTTTCATTTATATAATACCTTCTATGGAATCAAAAATGTATGTAGGTAGCTGGAGCTGAAACTTGGTAAAATTGTTGGAGAATGTTTTAATGGCACAGCAGATATGAATATATTTCCACTTCCCATTTATGTCCATTATTACGAGCACATTGTATCTTGGATAGCAAGATTTACAATGACAGAAACTGAAACTCACCCATAAGAAATTTTCAGTTTCTAAAACTTTCTAGGGACCAGTCCAAATGTTTGAAAGCATCACATTCAATGGAGAAAAAATCTTAAAGTTCTTCTCTAGATTCCAAGTTAATCTCTTTGTACTATGCAACAAATTCTTGTGTGGTGTCAGTACATTCCAGGTTCTCATGATTAGGTTTTTTGCCTTTTCCATTGATATATACTACCAATGTCCTGTAAATCTGCCAATTGCAGTATGCTATCCAGGGCAAACCCTTTCAATATGTGGTGGTGAATAATTCTATTCTATAGAGGCTGCTTAAACCCTCTAGGTACTAATGAACTTTTCTGTTGCCCTAGGGTCAAGACAAAACAATCACTGCTCCAAAGACTGCCTATGTGCACTTTGTAATGCACCACATTTTAAAACTATAACATATTCTGTTCATGAAAATGATGAATGATGATTGAAAGTGCTTGAACATAGACATACACAGATAATTTTTACACACACTAGAAATAAACGTTCATTATGAAAATAAGAAAAAATTACTAAGGTAAATATTCAAAATCTTGTTGGGACACTACTTAACTACACCAGTCCACTTGTAAAACGTAGGGAAAAATTTTTGGAGAAATCATTATTGTAGATTAGTAAGCATTAGGTCTTCCTCAAGGCACATTTTCAAAATAAAACAATATTCATTTTTTATCATTTTAAAAGAGGAATTCTGTTCATTATATTGGTGCAGTGTAAAATCAATCCTTAAATTTTTACAAGATTATCTGGACTACTAAGTCTAGCTTAACTATAGCAACTCAACAATGACAAAAAAGAGAGTTCAATCATTGTTCTTTGTTACTGCAACCAGATATTTGGCCAGTTAGTACTGGGGAATATTTTGAAGGGTATGACATATATTAAAGCTGATCCCCATTACTACTGCTGCTGAATTTAGTTTCTTTTTCAAGATGTCTTCAAGAGTAATAAAGGTTATAGTCATTTAGTGAATGATGGCCATTCAATAGAAACAATGAAAAGTTTGTTCTTTTATCTTATAATTTCTTTATAAACTTATAAAGAAATTATAAATAGAAAATAACTTGAAAATTCTGTTGAAGCCTGACAATAAATATAATAAAATTCTATAAATAAAAAATGTCAATTGCCAATAATTAAAATATGTAAAGGCAAAGGAATAAAGAAGAATGTTAAAATCAATTAAAGAAGGAGAATGAAAATTACATTTTTTTGTGTTATTTTTGCTGAGAGGCAGATGGGAAGAGTAGAAAACAGAAATTAGAACAGAATATCTTTTCAGATAAAGCTTGTTAGATCATTACTATTATCTTGCTATTAGTAGTTTGACAAGTCATATGTAAAGGATTTGATGGAAAAAAGAAATAAGTGTTACGATATGAGGCATGCAATGAGAGGAAAATGAAAGACAGGAAGGTGGAGGAAGCAGGGGAAGACTGTGAAGAAGAGGATTGGAGGAGAGGACAATAAGGAAAGAGTGTTGTAGTTGAAAGAGAGGAAGGAAGATAAAACACTAGAATTGGAAGAGAAGACAATAGGGAAGGAGTTTGGGAACTGAAGAATGGGTAAGAAGTATGAGAATTGGGAGTGAGATATGAGGAAGACATTTTAAAGCTGAAGGAGAGGACTGAGGATTAAGTATGAGAATTGGAAGAGACTACAATAGAGAAGGAATTTGGGAACTGAATAAGACAAATACGGTTGATGTATGAGAATTGGAAGAGAGGGTGATAAGGAAGCCCTTTTGGAACTGAAGAAGAGGAATGGGGAAAAGGTATGAGAATTGGAAAAGAGGATTTTTAGGGAAGTCCATTTGGTGCTGCAAGAGAGATGTGGGGGGAATATGAGAATTGGAAGAGAGAATTCTAGTAGCACTTTTGGAGCTGTAGAAGAGAAATGGGGTGAAAGTATGAGAATTGGAAGAGAGGATTATAGGAATCCCTCTTGGATCTGAAGGAATGGAATGCAAAGGAAGTATGAAAATTGGAAGAGAGCTGAAGGAATTATAGTAATTGGAAGAGAAAATTATAGAGAAGCACTTTTGGAGCTGAAAGAGAAGAATGTCAGGGAAGCATTAAAATTGGAAGAAGATTATAGGGGGCTTTTTTGAGATGAAGGAGCATAGGGAAGAAGTATTAGAATTGGAATTTAGGATTATAGATAATTTTGGAGTTGAAGGAGAAGAATGGTGAGGAACATGGAAAAGAGGATTATAGGGAAGCTCTTTTGTTGTCAATTATCAAGAACAAAGAAAATGTGTAAATTTACTTTCATGTGTTTAGGATTTATTAAAATTCTAATCATTGCTTTTTAAAACAGTGAAAATTAGCAAGGATAGAAGTAGTTAAAATAATAGCAGTGTCAAAGGAAAAAAAATGTTCTTTTGACACATTGATTTTTTGCAGGCACGAAGGTTGAAGAATTTCCCAAAGGAGTTTGGTAGTTGAATGAGACAAATAAGGTGTCTGTATGAGAATTAGAAGAGAGGATGGTAGGGAGGGAATTTGGAAGTTGAAAGAGAGTGTGACACCATTCATTGGTGTAATTGTGGCACTGTTCTCTGATTGTCATTCATTCACTGCATTTGTGATGACATCCAAGGTTGTGTATTTGCATATGCACCCAACTCACTATGTGCACAGGTTTGTCTTCTCGGCAGTGATTGCTTTCAACAAAAATAAAATGAAGAGAATTGTTTTTCAAGACTCTCTGGATGGGAAGTAGCAACAATACAATTTCTCACTTAAATGTGGGATGATTTCTTCAGCTTCAAGAGGTGAGCTCTGCTATCTTCCTAACTTCACTGGCCTCTGGGGTTGGTGACTCCTGATTCCTCATTACCAGTCCTTCTATCACTGGTTGCTGGGCAGCTCTCGTTCCTCTGGTCACCTACCTACTTCTCTCATGGCTAGACCTACTTTCCTCGACTTCCTGCTTCTCTCTGTCTATATGGATAGTCCTGGGGTCCCATCCTTGCTATCCATTTTTCTTTCCAGAAGATTTGGGACTATTCCAATACTACATGGGTGGTCAAATCTTCAAAGGACTACTTTCAAAGGTCTAAAATCATTTATAAAATTTTTATGTTTCCCAATTCAAAGGTGAACTGGAGACATGAATCCTGAAATGCTAACTCCTAAGTTCACTCAAGATGGACTGGAGACAAAATTCTTACAAAACACCAATAGCTGAGTGAACTTAAAAGGAAGGAAGGAATTTAACTCTTCTGAAGATATGTAAGAAATCATATTGTTACAAGAGAACATTGTAGGAATATGAGAATTGGTAGAGAGAATGATAAGATTTTGGATGTTAAAATAGAGGAATGTTGAAGATGACAAATAAAAGTGTTCAAGACATATATGAGAATTGGAACTGAGGACACAAGGGAAGGGTTTTAAAATAACAGCAATGGGAGTTAGGAGGGATATATACAGAAAACAGCCTGATAAATCAAGTGACTTTAAAAGATGAGAATCAGGCAAAAGATGAAAAAAAACTTAAAAAGAGCATAAATATTGACTTGAGTAAGAAAAACTTATTTAAGTAAGAAGGGAAAGTTGACAGGAAATCTGAGATGAAAGGATTTTTCTAAGTAGAAAATAAAAAGAAATTTGAAAAGATAAGGAAAATGTGACATTGAAGAAAGAGCTAAGCATTAAGGCTAGAGAATGAGTTAGGAAAAAGAATTGGTTGAAGAGAATTAATTAAGAAAAGACATATTGTAAAAGAAATGAAAATAATGTTAATGTAAGAATAAGGTAGAGTGATAAATGGAAATCTTTGAAAGATTATTCATGGAACGAAAGAAGAAGAATAAAGATAAAATATCACTGCTTGCTAGCAATTTCAGTCTGTGTTTCAGATAAATTCAGCAACTCATTAAACACTAAAAAATACTATACATAAGTCTACATTTCTCTCTAGAACAAAGCAGCCATTAGACTTTGTCTACTTATATTGCTGAGAATTAAATTATTTAATTATTATTAGTTGGATAAAGTCAAAGTCCATGAACTTACTTTGCAATTAGTTTATCTGGATGTAAATTGTAAAATTATTGCTGGATTTTATTAACTACATACACACACACATGTATGCACAATAAATTTTTAGAAGAATTAATTACTTAGATATGAATTAGAATCAGAAGGAAAATTGATTTGTGAGATGATATATTTAGAATTTAGATTTAGTTTTATATTAGAGAAAATAAAAATACAATATTTTAAGTTATTTTCTTTTTTACATTATCCAAGTGAACTTATATCTACCATTCTCCTATTGGAATTAAATCTTATGCATATTTTTTAGCCAATAAAATCCCATAAGTTTTGTTTGATTAACAATAATTACTAGGGTAAATACCATCAAAATACTTGGTAGATGCAGTTGTAGACCTACTACATGTTCTAACACTTTCACCCCAGTCCCTCAATGTCTTACTCTCTTGGTTGAAGTATCTATTCAGTCCTATCCGAACTTAAGGTCTCCTGAGCATCCGCAGATTATTCGACCAGTCCACTGGTTTAATCCTGCTTCCTGCCCACGTTGTGTTTGGTTTGATCCAGAAAGCAGAAGTGATGTTCATCCATTCACGGTCGACTGAAAATGTAGACACGGCTGGAGAGTCTGCGCTAAGAAATTTAGAATACAGCAAAAAAAAATTAATATCTGCAGAAAGCCAGACAAACAACTATTCAACGATTGAATTGTTAATGTCTTTTATAAAGCAGAAAAGAATAGTATAGAAAAGAAACGGGTTACAGAAAAGAAAAGTAATTGACGTAAAAATGCATACACTGGATTCTGGACAGAGAGAGAGTGTGTTATGATTAACTTGTTGTTAAATCGTCTCAGAATGATATACGACTCTTGCAATGGGGGAAAAAGATTTCTGTGCACAGCTTAAAGTTTATAGTGGCATTCCTCCTTAACAGTAGTAAGAGTAGTAGTAATATTCATGGTAGCAGAAGCAGCTGTACTTATATCAACAGTACCTGTTAGCGGACGCTTCGTTCCAATCTCTGACATCACTTTCTCTCCTTCTTGAGTCTCCAACTCGACTCTCCACTGTCTCTTGCCTAACTCTTGCCCGGGTTAATTCTCTTGTGTTTCTCTCTTCCGTCTGCTTCTTCCGTCTCAATGCTCGCCCATCTGTCTCTTCTGCAGCATAACTATGCGTTTATATAGAAAAATCCGGCTGGTTACAACTGAACCTTGGCTCTACTACTTTGCACGTGATTATCACGGGGTTTTGGCTGTTTCAACCAAAATCATGTGAATTCAAAAGGTCTTCCTTGCTTACTCAGCTCTATTCCAAGTTTTAATCAATAAAAATTATTTCGACCATTTCCATTGTCTGCTAATGACCCAGTTCCAATGGGTACAGCTCCTGCCCTAAATCAGGTTTCACCATCAGTAAACAAAAATGCTCTGATCTCATTTCACTGTTCAAATCCACTCTAATTAAAAAAAAAAAATATATGTGTGTGTGTGTGTTTCCCAGACTCTCTCTCTGTCACAATATTATTTTTAGAACATTTAGAAAATAACAGTAAGTCTTTTCACCACTCACACAAATTCGAGAAAAAGATTTTCAGAGGCCAGTATGAAATTATTTTCTAACTAATGAAAACCTTGTATTCAAAAAGTTCACACTTATGTGAAATTAGATTTTGAATCTCTTTACAGAAATGAAAATAGAAACATACTTTTCCTCAAGGCTTACAACAATTTTGGAGGCCAGTTTGATCTACGTGTGTGTACATACACACACCCATACACATAATGAAGAGATGACAGGCCGACTAAGGCTTTGTCTATGAACTCACAAACACATTAGGCTGGCTGTCATAAAATAAGTCTGTCCACACATTTCACAATGAACACTTAATTATTTTATAAAGCAAACTTTACTGCAAGGAAAATTGAACATTTTATTGCTACTGTATACTTCTGAAAAGAATCTATAAATGTTATTTCAATTGATGTTCTGCTTCTACTTTTCCTCCAGAAAATAACCTTTTTATGTTTCATTTAAAAGATGTGCTGTTGTTGTTAATGTTTGGAATCCCAGCACTCAGATAGCAACAAAAACTTGGGTAGACAGATCCCAACACTTCTACCTTGGGACACAAAAAATATTAAAAAATCTTATGAAAATATAAATATTCATCTAAAAATTGTGGAAGCATCCACAAGATTCAGTTGAAAAAAAAAAAAAAAAAAAAAAAAATGAGAACATTTTATTCTATTTTTTCTCAATGCATCTCAATTGCAACCAAATTTTTACCAGTTCATCTTAATACAATAAAAATACATTCATTTGAACATGTCTTTAATGTCCTTCCATACTTGTGACCAATTGATAGTATTACTATACAAAGCATCTTTCATGTTACATTGACTTGAAAGTGTATCAGATGCTGGCATGTCTTTTATAAATTTTTTAGGATTTTTCTGGACTTTTTTCAATTCCTGTTGGTAACTGTAGTGGACCATCTGTTTGTTGAGGATTGGCACAACCATGTTGTATTTATCTATCATTTCATTAACATCTTTAATTCCAATTTGGAATTGATTTAAAGCATGAACATTAACAGATCCTTTGGTGTGAATGAAACTCATGGCCAAATTAGAGTGGAAATTACGTAAATTTTCTCTGAAATTAAAAAAAAAAAAGGATAACATTAAATAACGTGAATATAGTAACAAAGATGGAAAAAGACTTTATGTAATCAAAAAATCAGATAGAAAGATAAATAACCAGTATGTCCTTTTTGAATGCTCTGTCTCTTCAGAATATAAGAGATCATAACTTTCCAAAGATTCCTTTTCATTATTTTCCGGGAATTGCCATGATTTCTTTGGAAAGATATTAGAGAGGTTTCCTATTACCTGCTCCTAGATTGGTTAACACCAAAGATGGCCAAACTGGTGGTGTGGACGAGGAGGAGAAAAGGATTCATGCCATTTTCAAGGGCATAAGTACAAGGTGAATGTAACATTGGTAAATATTAAGCTCCTTGCACATCCCCTGATCATAATACAATCTGAATAAACATTTTAGAAATCAGAATTCAATTGACAAAAAAATGAAATTAAATCACTTTTCCTTTTCTCTTTTTTTCAAATTGTTTAATAATTAATTATCATTAATTGCATGAGGAAAATAAAATTAAAAAATAAAAATTGTATAGAATTTAAGTTAAAGTTGCTTCCTTGAAATTTTTTCCATAATTTGTACAAAGTTTAGGAAAAAGAAAACTTCTTTTGAAAATTCTATTCCAATTATGCACCTTGATTAACTTTGATTTTACAAAATTTTTTTCTTTCACTTTTCATTAGATATTTGATATTTTTAAAAATGCCATTATTTCAGAGGAGAAAGAACATGTATATCCCAACAACAGAATTCAAAGAAAGTGTGGTAGAATTGATTTGATATGTTTTATTTCTGCTATATTTTTGGGATTGTTGAAGGTATGCATTATTTTATTATTTATCTTTTTATTTGTAAAATTCATATTTAATAGATTTCTTGGTGAATCAGTTCTGCACAAAGAGATAAGAAATGAATGCTAGAATTGTAAGACAGAACTAAACTTTGTGTCAACAAGCTAAAGACTTGTTGACCAAATGAAACAAATATTGAAAAAATATGGTCCTCTGACTTTGAACTCATTGAAATATGCAGAAAGATGTGCAGTGAAAAAAGCTTTCAACAAAAGCTCCCTAAGGGGAAAATGGGCAAAGCATGTGATCCCATAGCCTAACACTCTCACTACAATAGAAAGCCTACCACTAAAGCAAAAATGAAATTGTTAAAACCAGAAAAATCATTACAACGACTTCAGAACCATGACAAAGAAAGTAATATTAAAAACTAAAAAAAAAGTAATTAGGTTTCTGCTATATATTGCAAAAGAACATTGATATTGGAAATAATTGTGTGTAATTAAAATTATAATGTAAGAATGGATTCATGTTTTTTTTGAATTTAAAAGAAAAATTTTATTTTACAAAATTCAAGTTTTAGCACACATTTAAAAAATTACAATAAGAGAGAATAATAAAATAATAAATTAATTGCACAAATGTTTCTATTCTGTGCTGAAAAATTATCGAGCCAGTAAAAAAAATATAAGTAAATTATACTTACATTTCAGAAATTATATATATATATATATATATATATATTTGGTTTGGATTTATGTGAGTTTGTGACCCTGGGTTTCACGCTTTGCGATCGTCAGACAAACTGATTAATTTTTTTAAAATTTGGGTTTATGTAGATTGCGTGTATTAGTGTTATTATGGGAGTGGGGGAATCGTTGTCATGATGTCATCGTGCTAACGCAAACATAGATGCATGTCCGTACATCAGATGAGGTATGCAGACACACATACACACTTGCTTGTGCGTCGGGACTCATACATATATAAACATATGTGGACAGTTTCGGATTTGACATATGTATGTATATGGGTGGTGTTGTGTCTATACATACGCATTTGTATGTTGAAATTCAAAGATTGGAAGTGTAGCGAAAATTTCTCATGAATGTATACATGCCAAAAACCAGAGCACTTATCTTTTTTTTCACTGAATAAAGTTTCCTCACATGTATGTATATATATGTGGTGGGGTCTGTGTAAAATTTCGATAGGTAAAAATTATTATTATTATTATTTTTTTTTTTAATTTAAAAAAAAAAGTTTATTTGTTATTATTTTAAAGCTGGTTGTTTGCTTGTTTTTGATGACTGATTATATGTAACTGGTAGAAATTTCGGTTTGTAATCCTTATTGGTTATTTTATTTGGTGGTATTTAATATGCTGGGGGAGTGGGTAGTTTATGTTAATAATTATAGCAGGTCTATATGATAATAGTAGATGTGATGTGGTAGTAATGTTGTAAGGGATTGTGGACAATGATAATATAAGTAGCTAATAGTTATTGTAAATTGGTAGAAGTGATTAAGTATCGCGCATATTATATATATATATATATATATATATACACACACACATTTTTCATATATATACACACACCTGAACAATATTAGGATAATTAATGACAAAGTGGAAAAAATTCACCCACTTTGTTATTAATTTTCCTAACATACATACATTCTTAAAAGTTTTTCCATAGAATTATTTGAGTGAGCTCATGTGGAAAATTAATCTATAAATAAGATTATTATTTGAAAACTAACATCAACATGAGAACAAAACAGGAGAAATTTGTTTTTTTAGACCCAATTATAATTATTGTTAGTAACAACCACTTGTATTTATTTCAGAAAAGCTTTTTTCTTTTTTCTTGCAACATTCATATTTTTATTTGTACCATCTGCCTCAAAATGAAATGGAACTTCTTGCAGAAATTGTATCCTCCTTTGGAACATTGAAGATTCATTTTTGCTTGCTGAATCAGGCATCAGAAATTACCAAATTTCTGTTACCTGATTCTTTGATGTGGTCTAAGGGAAGCAACCCTGGAAAGTGTTATCATGTTCCATTGAAAAAGTAAGACTGTTTTACTGCTTGTTTCACCCCACAAGAGAAAAAGAGAAATCTGCCTGCTATTCACACTAATCTCTTTAAATTGGTATCATTCCACTAAAAAGGAGCAGAACTAGTTAACAAAAAATAAAATGGCTGCCTATCTGAGCAAATATTCGGAAATAAAGAGTATCTTGTTTTTTTCTTTTTCCTAGATGTATGAAAGCAGATGTTTTTATTTTTATAACAAATTAGCAGATCATTTTTCAATCAATTTTTTAAGATAAAATTTTACCAATAAAATTATGTGAAAATATATTTGAATTCTAATACTGAATTATTAGCAAGATAGTTAGTGATAAACATGGTGTTTGAGAAGAACAATGACACAGAAAGAGAGATGCAAAAACTGGATAAGAGGTGAGAAGGGAACAACAAATGTAAAAACTACAAACAAAAGCAAAGTCACTCTTTCATTTATAGGCTGTGTCCCTGCAGGACATAGGCAACCATGACTCTTCACAACTTCAGATCTATATCCTGTGAGCATCAAATTCTCCAAGCTCCTGTCCTCATTATTCATCCCCAAAATTTCAACTTTCTGATTATAAGTGTTTTCTCTGTTCTCATTTTTAAAACTTCATTACGTCCATATTGTGGCCATGATGGTTTCAGTATCCTTCTGCTGAAACACCTCAAGTATTCTCTTCATCTGTGAGCATTCACTACCATATAGGAGGAATGACATAACACAGCAGTTCAACAATCTTTTCTTTGTTTCTAATGAAATTTTGTCTCTTAGCTTTTGGAAAGCATTTTTCCTTATTCCAATGCACCTTCAAATTCCTATGCCACCTTTCTGTCTTCTGTTATAAAACTTCCCAGATAATTAAATTTCTGTACTTGTTTGATTTTCGACATCATCTATTCATCTTAAGCTGTCTCTCTTGCTAATGATCATGTACTTGGTTTTCTTACAATTCATAGTCTATTCTATTCACTTCCCTTTGCTATATTGCCTAAGAGTACCTGTAGTTTTTTTTTTCTGTAGCCAGTATCAACATAGTATCATCATGCATTTTTATGTTAAGATTGTATCCACCAATAATAAATTCTGGTAGGACTTGTATTTCTCTTAGGATATCTTTGTTGTATATGTTGAATAAATCCACTGAGAAGATGCATCTTTGTTTTACATTACTTTCTATTTTTGCAAACTTGCGCAATTCATTTTCTATTGGTATGCAGTTGGTTTGTTCCCAGTAAATGTTCAGGATTATCTTAATATCTTTTGCAAATAAATCATTTTCCTAGCAATTCAAATCAATCATAATGTCATACCTTATCAAATGCTTTTGAAAGTAGGTGTATTTGTTCTGCATTTGTATTACTGAGAGCATTCTCATTATAAAGATAACATTTTTTTGTTCCTGTGTCTTCTTTAAAAAGTTATTCTGTTCTTGCTTTATTTCCTGTTTAATTTTGCTATATGTTCTATTCATCAGAATCTGGATGATATGTGGTTCATTAAGCTGATTGTCTGATGGAGCTTGTATCCATTGTTTCTAGGCAGCACTAGAAATGTGTATTTACTTAAATAATAAATAATAATAAAGTTACTAAGGAAGAAAAATATATCAAGAATCAGTAGCAAGAAACTGGATAAACATGAGCAGCAGCAGCAAAATATAAAAACTGAAAAGAATAAACAAAATGAACATAGCAAGGGAAAGTAAGCTCAGTAGATATGGACAAAACGGAACATTCAAAAACAATGAAAGATTCTATCAACAAGTAAATGGGGAAAGAACAGAAGAAATGGATACTACAGAAATAAAGTACGTCTGGAGTAAAGGAATGGAAAAAAAGAGCCCAACATATAGGCTGAGTGGTTAACTAGCTTAAAACTGAAGAAGACTGAAATTAGATCTATAATTTTGAAAAGAACCCTAAAAAAACACTGCCAATTGGAAAGTGTCTGCTTCAAAGAATCATGAATATTTATGAGAGAGTAGCATAACTATGTCTGAATGAACTAACAATCTGTGAATTGATGAAGAAAAGTTGATTTAGAAAAATGACAAGAAATGAACAATTCCAAACTGTGAAAACTCCTCATAGTGTAAGTAACTGAAGAAATCTGTTACTTTTTG